CTCAGGGATATTGATCCAGAGAGTGGGAGCCCTGACAGGAAAGGCCCAGTCACCTTTTGGATGAACTATCCCTTTAATTTGTGAATAAATATCAGAGTGTCGTGCAGGATTCAACTCACTTCACCGGTGCTGAAGTCTTTGCCAAAGTTGTCCAGGTCAGTTTGCTCACTCTGTCCGTCACTTCCAAATAGAGTGACAGATACGTGATCCCATGTTCCTGCATGTTGCATGTCACCTGTTGTCACCTGCAGCTTGTACTCAGCCATGTTCACTCAGTGGATCGGTCCAGAAAGATGATCAAAATATCAGGTCCAGATTTTTCCTGTCTATGCTCTGTATTCTCACTCTCTGCCTGTTTCTTCACAAGGCTCCACCCAATAGGATGAACTTGTGTTCCGGGTTTTTATTCAGTTTGAAGCCCTTAACACCAGGATATGACACTCGTGTGCTCAGGTTTCTCCTGTTGCTTGGTCTGCACTAGTTCACATCTGTTTACATTTGTTCAATTGACTCAAAAGTACTGGCTTTGTGTTCAAAGACTGAACACCTCTGATAGGGTGAGATGTGACCTGTTAGCAGGAGTGTTTCAAGAAACTTTAGGGACATTAACGGACCTGCATGTGGACGTTACACAATTATTATATCTTATGCAATCAGCCATTCTCGGGGTGGCGGCTTTCAGCTCAGAGCCTCAGGTAATGACCTGATTTGCCTCCAGAGCTGCAACATTCCTGCCTTGTATTTATAATAACTGGTTTGATCATGCTGGGCCCTGCCCACTAACCTAACCTGGAAATATTATCATTCACATTAGTTTCTATCTGGATCTGCAGTGAAATACACATAACGAAAAAGAATTAATGAATTCTAACCGGGCTCTTTATTGTTTTAATATCTGGGAAAGTCTACAGTATAAAGTAATGGTATATTTATTTTTTCATTTCCTTAATGCTCAGTCCTTCTCATTGACTGTGTAGTGATTAGTCCCACAATCATTAAGAAACAAATTTGTATTTATTTTTTCATTTAATAATGTCAGAGTAATGTTTAAGCTTTTATTTCATATGTCCATCCATTAAGTTGTTGCTGCACCAATACACCACAGGCTCACATGTCAACTAAAATATACGTATCCCATCATGCAACACCTTCCCACAACAAAAACAAATTCCCAGCACGAAATACAATTCTCAATTAGCCACGCTGTTCTCAATGTGAGATGGGTGCAGATATGCATAGGGCAATTCAAGCTGCGAGTTTCTCTCTGTGATTTCTTCACCGAGGTAGGACAACTCCCCTTGAAACTCCTGAATCATCTGCGTAAGTGCAGGCTCGTCGAATCGTTTGTCAGGATATTGACCCAAAGGAACCTGCAGAAATGACAGAGTCGAGAACGACAAATTAGAGTGACAGAGTACACCACGGTGCAAAAAACGACCAATACTTATTGCATTATGTAAATATGTATTAACAAATGCATTAWTATATAATACAAACTTACAGCACTACTGTATTTCTTTGAAAGTAAATATGTCATGGCTGAMATGGAGGCAGTCTCTCCAACTGTCGGGAGGGCCTCCAAAATTKTCTCCATGCTTGACTGCCCCTTGGTGGTCGGAGGRGGTTTGTGCAGCAGCMSTGTGCCATTTGGCGCCCAGTAGTAGTAGTCAAACTAGATGATGAAAGAAGTTTCAGCATGCATGTAATTTATAATKAAACATTATTGTATTTATTTATTAGGTTATTTCATGTGGTTACATGGTAGGAAATGAAACCTGATGGTGAAAGAAGCATATTACACTGTCACACGTCCCATATATTCTAAATTTAAAAACAAATCTCAATRCATGTTCCAGTGTCCTAACTTTTTCACYCTTGCCTCACCTGTCCATTATTGACCGCTGCGTGTTGAACTGACACTGTGAAGATGAYCATGGTGATGAATCTGATCAATTCTTCAGTGCAATGAAAGCAGTCTGGGAATCCTGTCAGCAGCACAACCATCAYTGGTTATTCACAATTTGCTTGGAAAATGTTTTATACACTATATGTTATATACAGAACATGGGTTAAATACCTGAGGCTTTGTTTCTCAAGAGGCCGTGGGTGAATATCTCACTGATCCAATCCTGCAGCTCTGTGTCTTTACAGACGTCAGCRTCTGAGGGATAGTAGTACTCCACTACTGCTCTCACGAAGCTGGTTAACACAAAACAATAGGATTTTGAGTATATAAGCCGTTATCAAAACCCAGAGACTGAATTTAAACATGGACATCATAAAAAAGCTCCACAAAAGTGAGGCCAAAGTATCTCCATCGACACCTGGTGGCTGGCCGCAGAATATGTGATAAACCCCACAAACAAAAAGTTAAATTCAACATCAAATTTTAGATTATTTGGATCACACAGATATTTGCTAATTTTTCCAGTAATTTGGGTTTTGATGAGTTATTTGATGCTGTAAGAATGAGGTGAAACATCACAGCTGCTTTCAGACATTCTCCGGAGGGGCTGTATGTGAGAACGCAAATGTCAGAGTGAGAGCCTCTGGACTTTCTGCAGAGTTTCTCCGTCCAGCCCCTTGTGCAAAGAATGAATACATTCTTTCCTGCCTCCTACAGGCTGCGCCACTTCTCTCCTGAACACAAGCTGTTGATTTAAAACAGATCAGTGAGGATATCTGCAATATTTAGTAGCTAAATTTAAAGTTACCTGTTGATGATGTACCACAGCTTCAATCCATCATCTCTGTAGTAGCAGTTGGGGATTGACTCAAGTCCTCGTGCAGTGATGTTCTCTGGCAGACAGAGGGAGCTGTAGGTCATAAGAGGAAGGGACCTTCTCATGAGCTCCGTCATCCCCTCAAGTCCAACTGAACTCTAATAATCAATTGTACAGAAATATTTACCATTAGACAACTGCATTGTTAATCTTATAGAAATCCTCTTTTTTAACAGTTCAAGATTAGTAGAATAGTCCAACTTTGAATTATATATGTGAAAAAAAGAGCCTTACTATTCTAAAAACCCCATCAGGTCCCAGTAGACTGCTACGGGCTCCAATGTTCATGTACATAGTTGTCTTGAAGTGTGGAATCAACAACTGAAGAGAAAGAGGGGAAAATGTTCAATGTCAAAGTAAAGTGCTTATTTCAGCCAGAATGGCACTTAGAGATCAAACCTCCGCCAAGGTTCAACAGTCCTCTTAAATTCAACCAAAAGAAACTTTGTAGGATGATCAGAATCTGCAAGAAAAATGAGTTCCTCCCTGACCCATACCACATCCATCTGTTCGATAGTTCTTCTGACAAACAAGTAATAAAAAAAGCAGACAGCACATCCTGGCTGTGTTGATCAGCAAAAAGAAGACACAACCATAACAAATCAGGTTTCCCTCAATTCCTTCAAAAATTCCTGTAAAACCAGTCAAAAGAAAAACAGGTGTACCAGCGGAGTGATCTCTGCTGTGTTGTGGTACCTTGTAGAGGGGATGAATCACAGGGAAGCAGCGCAGAGTGGCGACAGTGTAGACCTCTGCAATGAAGTGAGTATTCAAGAGGTGATGGACCGCTTCATGATCTATCATATCTGCATTTTTGATATACATCTTGGCCAGCAGCCAGTCGGTCTCCAGGTCACTGGGCAGGAAGATGGGATTCTGCTCTGAGGGCTGTTGATAGAGCTGGAGTGTGATAAAAAAAAAGATTGACTTTAAAATCTTTGAAAAGTGGAACCGGACTTCTGAAAAGAAATTACTAATGCTATGTGGATTTAATGACCACACTTGAGTTTCATTAATATATACCTGTATTGCAATTGGCATCAGTTTGTTTTCTGGGTTCAAGTAGAACAAACAGAGACCAGGAGTCACATTCAGAGATTCTCCCTTGT